AGGAAATGCCGGCACTCCTGCAAGCAGAAAGATATTATGATTATTATTTTTATTGTTGTTATATTATTATTATTATTCTCACCGTTAAACATACTGGTATAATCACTTTTGGTAGCTTAGGTAATAGCTTCGCTAAAACCACACGCTTAAGCAAAGCTATATGTATAATCTTATTTCTCTACAAATCAAAGTATTAAACTCCGCTTTCGTTGTCATTTTACATACCTACATGAGAGCAAAGAACAAAAAATTACTTGTGAGTAGCAATGAAGCTATACAGCATAAATATAGACCACGATTTGAGAATTCTGTTTGTGGGAATAAGATGAATTGAAATAGGCTAACAACACACCTGGGATCAATTAAAATTATGCTTACATAACAGTTAAGCCTAAAATAATGCAATTGGACTTCTTATTAAGATTGCGTTGTCATGGTGTACTGACTAAAAATTCATTACAGATGCAGAGAAAATGCTCCCAATTGAACCGAGTAACAAAACATGATCACAATGAACATATAGAAGTGTGACAATCAGTGTTTTCTGTATAATGCTCAGCTACTTGCCACCTCACGAGGTGTGCTTTTGAGCTTCTTTTTATAAATTTTTGAATTTAAACCAAATTTTGTGAAAAATTTCAAGGAGAAACTTCTTAATTTTTATAATGTTTTTCATGCATATTGAGAATCATTTCAACAGACTGCAGAAATTATTAGAAGCGGAATGTAATTGGAAGGAAATAGTTGATGCAATAAAAATAAAGGCAGTTTCACTGAAGAACTTCCTGATATCAGAAAAGATGATGAGCCTCAATTACTGGGTGAAATAATAGGAGCAGTAGCTGATTTTGCTGAAATGCATATAAATGTACCTAATTTAACATTACAGCAAAGAGAGGCAATACTTAATGTAGATCGAAAAAGAATTATTGATAAATTTAAGACTCATTTCATAAGTCAAAAAGAAAGTGAAGACTTATTAGAGAATGAGTCTTCAAGACTACTTAGATTAGATGAAGTCACACCACTAAAAATGTTTATTAGTGGTGATGGTGGAACTGGTAAATCGTTTTTATTAGAGGCAATAAAATGCATAGTAGATGACATGGCATCCAAAAAATGGTCAAATTATGTGAGCTATAGTAGCACCAACAGGTATAGCCGCATTCAATGTTGGTGGACTAACAATACATATATTATTTCAGCTACCAATAGAGCATGAGGTAAGGACAGCTGGATATTGAGCTTTGAATAAAGAAGCTCAGAAAAGAATAAAAATGACAATAAATGGTATCCAATCAAAATCTAGCATACTCATTTAGAAAATATATTTGGAACTGATAAATTGTTTGGATCTAAAAATATTTTATTTGTAGGTGACCTTTTACAATTTCCACCTCATAATGGTAGACAAGTATTTAAATAAATTAGCAACAAACTAGTAAAAACTAGACTTACAGCTGCAAATGCAGTTAACATATGGAAAGAAACAGTAAAATAAGATGAACTAACAATCAATGAGCGACAAAAAGGAGGCAAATCTTTCTTTAAGATGCTTGATTCTGTTAGGCATGGCTGTCTGACTGATGAAACTATTGATACTCTTAAGAGTCGCATATTTAAGTTTTCAATACAAAAGAAATATAACGAGTTGGAAAGTGAAGGAACAAATCCTCCAAATTGCCTATTTTCTAAGGTACACTCCTGCCAAAAAAACCAATGAATTAAACGGATTAAATAGAATTAGCATGTGTTGATGTTGTTAATGAAAGTGGTAGCACAGCAAATTTTGACAACAAACAAGAAAAAATTAGAAAAACAAAAAGATCAATCAACTAAAGCAGCTGGTTTAGAAACTGTATTGTCTGTAGCAGTATAGTCTGGTAACCAGCCCCTTGCAAAACATGCGTAGGGTCTGGTATCACGCCCATATAGCATTGGTTCTGTAGCGCAAAAATTTTGCGGCCCAATCAAATTGCAAGACAAATGTGACGTCACCGTAAAAGCGTGACGTCACATTTAAATGGCGGCTCTCGAAAATCAAGAAGCAGTTGTTGCCGCTAGGGCAGCAGTTTCTCTTGGTTACACAACTATAAAGCCAATGCAGAAACTTGTAATTGCATCCATATTAAGAGGGAAAGATGTTTTTGCAATACTACCAACTGGGTAAGTTTATTGAGCGCTAAATGCTTGCTTCAGGCTTTACTGACTGTACTCATTATGCAGCTATGGCAAAAGTCTTTGCTACCAAGCTCTGCCTATAGCATTTGATCAACTTCACCAGTTAGCTAATGGTACAACTATTGTTCTAGTTATTGGCC